TGCTAAGGAAGCTTTAGTGGACAAGATCCCATTAGTTCACACATTAACTTGATGGCCTCCAGCAGAGGATTACATGTACAGTGTATCTGACCATGCTATTCAACTCAAGCAGTGTACATTCCTTACCTTCACTCTTTTGTACAACAGCAACTGGAAAATGTCCTGCAAAGAAACAGTTTTCGTGGTAACTCACAGCACTATAACACTCTGTTTAAACTATATGATTGACAATGAGTATACCAATTTGCACAAAGAGTATGTTTTAACCACATGACATCTAGTATGTTTATAACAAAATTACATGTAGGTATTTGAGGCATTTACATGCAAAATTGCAAAATAAAAATAATTAACCCGAGACCAACCCGAACACATTTCATAACTGAAGCAAACCTCTAAATAGCAACCTGTGAATGAATCCAAGCAAAGTTACCTGTGAAGCTAAAAAAAATACACCTGCAATATACTACAGAATAAGGAGAGACAGAAACTCACTTTTTTTTGTTGGTTTAACCTTTTCCCTCATTTGACAAAATGATATCTCCAGGAAAGCTTGGTCCCAGTTGGCAAATAAAAAAAATCTAGCTGTCTGATGACTAAGTCCTGAGTTTTCTAGGCACTGTAGACCATTATTTAATGATCAGATGAATGTGTGTTGAGTTATACATTGAAAATATTTCCTTGAACTACACACTTACCAGATTCTGGAACTGAAATGCTTAGATTAGGGCAAAGCAGCATGTCTAGCTCCCCATACCATAACTCTGGGTTGCCTGCAAGAGATGAGTAATGACATTACAACATGGCTGATTCACATACAAATGTAACAAACAAGCAGCCAATAGCCTCCCATAATTTGGTTGCACTTTGGTTTCAAGTTTCAAGTTTCAAGTTTTCTTTATTTTCACATTGGCCAATTACTTTACATTTGCAATGTTTGACAAAAATAAGTGGGGGTTTGTGGATGAAAATCCTCTGGGTTAAACAAAATATTCAAACACCTACTGTAATTTAATAACAAGATATTAGACAATACCACATGAAATGTCTTGGCTCATCGTGGAACAAGAAAAAGAAATACTAAAATAAGTTAGATAAACAAAAATGAAGAGAGTAAACAAACATGTCAATATGTACATGAAAATATATAAAATGAAGTAAAGGAAAAAAGTGACGTAACTATAACTAAGGAGGAAGTCACCCTCAGGCATCAGATACAAGCAGATACATCTTTAAGATCTAAAACTTGGAAGAGATGTAGAATTTTTGACATGCAGAGGTGTTTTATAAAATTCCAAAGATCAGCAGCTGCAAACCCAGCTCTAAATTTGCCATACGGTAATTAGTTCTTGGTCAAGGAATGAACACATTTTGATTCAATCTTAAACATGTGTGATACTGGTGAACATCTCTGATCTTCAGAAACTATGAGTTGTATATTTTAGGAAGTAAATTGAAAGGCTGCAGGCAAGAACGTCCCCAGATTTTTTGGCCATTTTTGAAAGTGCTAAAAAATAGCTGACATTTGGCATGTGGGCTTCTTTTTACTTGAGAAACATTGCTCTGAAAACTTTTTAGCTGGTTTGCTCTTCGTTTTTGAGAAATAACGTAGGCAAAAAACTCAGTTATCCTAGCACACCCTTTGGAGATCTTTTGCTGAGTTCGAGAAATTTTGTTTCACTGAACAATGAAGTCACCGAACCCATTACATTTGCCACTAGCTGTTCGAACAGATACAAGCTTTTTATTCGTATAATTGAACCAATACGCTATTGTTACATCATTAGTGCAAGTTATGACATTGCATGGGGCCAGAGTCAAGTTTATGTTGTCGTGACACTGGTTTGACACTGGGTCAGTCAATTTTTTTACTATTTCTCCTCTTCTTTTAAAAACAAAAACATCTGACAGTGTTAAAGAGAATCTGCGCTCTTGACACCAATGAAATTAGCAATTTAAGTTCACAATTTAAGTTCACCTTTGATTAATAAAGTTCCAGAGAAATTATGCTGATGCTTGTACACAAAATCACCCAATTGCAAATGAGCTATTTGAAATATGTTCAATATACCCAACCCTAAAAACAGTGGTCTGCTGTGATCTTGCCAGCCTGATCATGTGATGATTCTTAATACTCAAAACAAAAAAAACCTACTCCCTGAATGTGCATTTTTACAAGATCTATGTCAATAAACAAAAATAAACAACAATCAGATATAGGATTTAAAAGCCCCTGGCTATTTTTTGTACGTGTATTCCACGTAACAATATTGCATCAAAAATGTTATCAACCCCAATATCTCTGAGCTGAAATGTACAAACGTTTGTCTGATCATAATTTACAGAAATTAGTTTTAGTGGGGTAGATGCGATTAGGTTATGAATATTTCCATAAGAAAACAATGATGACTTTTAAATAATATCATAGATATAAACCCACTTAATATGGGTTCACAGTTTGTATAGCCCATACAGTGACCAACTGCATTAAGGTTACAGT